GCTGCCCAGCCAGGATGGCAGCAATGCCAGCCCCGACTCCCCGGCCACCCTCCCAAAATCTGCTCCAGCACCAATCCCGGCACACGCAGAGCCCGTGGCAGGAGATCCAGAGCTCATCCCTAATCCGCACACAGTCCCCCTCCTTCGGAAGCCTTCACAGCACCCTCTCTCCATCCCCTGTCCTCCTCCATCCACCCTGCCCCTTACATCCCTCCATCCCCCTAAATCCATCCCCATCCCCCAAATCCCCCCTCTTGCTCTTCTTTTCCCACCCACGGTGCTGCACCATCACAAAACTCCCCCAGACACCCTGACACGTCTCTACTCCCACCCTCCAGCCCTCTCCATCCGCCCCACGGGGCTTTCACCGCCCCACCGAAGGTGCCAGAAGGCCGGGGAGCAGGGCACGTGCCGGGCACAGCTTTAGGAGCGCTCCCCCCGCTCGCTTCTCGCTGCTTACCTCGCCCGGTGCTGTAGTGCTGTAATTTATCGCTGTACACGGCCTCCTTGCTGTAGGCACGCTTCCTGGGAAAAGAGGGGAGAAAACAGCCGGGTTTGAGGATCCAGCAATCGGCAACGGCCCCGGAGCGCTTCCCACGCGGCGAGTGGCGGCAGCTCGGCGCTCTCTCCGGGGGGCCCCTCCATCTCTCCCCTCCTACCCCAAATCTCTCCCAGCTACATCTTCCCACCTCCACCTTCCAGGGACTCAGCATCCCACGGGGACCCACCTGCTGCAGACAATGGAAATGGCCACCAGCGAGACGATGAAGACCACCCCGGCTGCTGCAGACCCCGCGATCAAAGGCAGCTGCTCTCTCAGCTCCGACTTGTAGTCATCTGCGAGAGAGGAAGGATGGGGTCAATTCATGCTCAACGGAGTAAGAGGTCCCATAACACCCCTCTGACTCCCTGGGTGCTGCTCCCGTGTGAGGGTGGTGGGACACTGGGATCCCGGCGGGGGTGCTGGTTGAGGCAGGCGATGAGTTGTGCTGCGTTGTGCGAGGAAGGATTGTCACACTCGACTCACATGGGTTTTGGGTTAAAGAGATGGAAGAGAAGATCCTGGGAATCGAGTCAAACCATCAGCGTGTGGGCTCAGTTTCCCAAAGAGATGAGGTTTAAAAGGTGTCTTTGTCCCTGTCTCTGGGGTTTCTCTTCCCTCAATAAGTTTAAAGCTGTCAATTGTTTCAACCAAATTTAACATGGGGTCTCGCCGACACAAAGTTTCCACCTGTTCCAGGAAATGAGGGTGAGAAGAGACCCTACTAATAACCAAACCAGCTGGGGAAGGCTGTGCCAGGAGCCCACCTACATTAGACACTGGAGAACCCACTACACGACAGTGAACCTCAAGAGAGAGGCCCAGGAGAATCCACCTTTGCTGTGCCTCTGCTCGCAGACTGACCACTCTTTACATCTCCAAGGACGGCAAGAGCCGACCTCTTTCGCAGAGCCACAGCACCCACAGCACCCCTTCCTCACCAAGCATCCCCTCACCATTTAAGGAAGAAAGTTTTTCCACTGAGGGTGGTGAGGCACTGGCACAGGTTGCCCAGAGAAGCTGTGGCTGCACCATCCCTGGCAGTGTTCAAGGCCAGGTTGGATGAGGCTTTGAGCAACCTGGTGTAGTGGAGGGTGTCCCTGCCCATGGCAGGGAGCTGGAACTAGATGATCTTTGAGGTCCCTTCCAACCCAAACCATTCTATGTGTTTTCCCCCCCATTTTCCCCTTCTCCTGGCCTGCCCCATCAAGGGTGTGGGCACCCAGAGCCACGTGGGTGGATGGTACCCGGCAGAGCCCCCGCTCCTGGGGGCTCCTGCAGCCCTCCAGAAACACCTCCCTTTCCATCCACACCCAGCAAGGTCTGCTGGGCTGGGCCAGCAGGCACAAGCAAGGGTTAAAAGAAAATTCAATCCAAAAGAAAGCATTTAGCACATTTTTATCTGTATGTTTCTGCTCGGCGGTTAATTATTAGCAAGTAGATTTCTCTCTTGCACGCCGCTTAAATCCTGAGAAATTCTCATCTAACAATCAATTATTATTTAATAATCTACACTATCCATCCTTATTAAATTTCAATTAATTGCTTATTTGAGGCAGGATTTTTCTTCTCGCTTCTCTAATCCTGAATATTTGAGGCATTGGGGGGGTTTATTACCATTTCCTTCCCTTCGGTCACCCCGTGTGATTTTCCTCTTCCCGCCCCAGCGGGCACTCGACATGAGCACCAGCACGGGGTGACCCAGTTTTAGGGAAGAAGGAAAATTTTAGGAAAGACAGTCAGAGAAGCTGGGACCCATGGGTGTCACCTAAGCAGAGCAGGAACCATGCTGGCAAAGGCAAGGAAGGGGGTCCCTGCAGGGACTTCAGCTCCCCCAGTGTCCAGAGGGGCAGGAGGACCATGAATGGAGCCTTGCGTCATTCGCCGACTTCTAGATTTGTCCCAAAACCAGGATTAACGAAAAACCTTCCCATGAGTTATTAGTCTCTAAGGGAATCCAGTGTTTGTGGGTGCAGGGAAGGGCTGGGGCCAGAAGAACGACCGCACGACTCTGGTGAGGAGGCCAGAAGAAGTCGTGAAGGTCGTGAGCTGGCCTTTTCCCTTCGACACACCACCTCAGGGTGGACAATCGGCATTTAGAGATGGGTCTGACCCTTCCAGCTCAGATACAGCTCTGAGCATCCCTGGAGAGAACTCCAGGAGAGCATCCCTGGAGAGCATCCCAGGAGCCCTTCCTCTGGGGGGTCTACAACTCTTGCCCACCTTGCCGGCCCCCCAGCCGGTGGCAGGGGGGCTCTGCCACCACGGTCGGAGGCAGGAAAGCCAAAACCACAGCTAAACATCAGGGGAGAAGACAGAGGTAAGAGATTTAAAGCAGATCCCTCCTCCAGCTGGCGATTAATAAGGCATAATAAGGCATCGCTGTAAATCCCCCGGCTTTGGCCACGCTGCCCGCTGGGACAGAGCTTTGCGGAGACAAGTTCGTTTAATCCAATTAGATCCCGTAGCTGCTGCTGGAAAGACAACCACCCCCCTTGGCCTCCCTGTCCCCCCCCCATCCCGCCCCCCCGTCAGCGTCTGGAAGCACATCTTCCCGCTGTACTTGCCGTAGCCGGCCACGGTGCGGGCTCGCACCTGCACCACGTACACCATGCCGGGCCGCAGCCCCTCGATCCTGGCCGTGTTGGTCTGGCTGCGGGCCATGGAGGAGTTGTACTCGTTGTGGTCCTGCGGGAAAGGCCCGGAGAGATGGTCAGCCACGATGGGGATGGGGGACAGCGGGGACAACAAGGTGCCCTGCAGCCAACCCATCCCCAGTGATGGCAGGGAGGAGGTTTATCTGCAGAAGGTTGAGCGGTGGCCCTGGTTCTGCTCTGAGAGGACAAGTGCAGGAGCCTGGGCAAGGTGGCTCAGACCCTCCTGGTTGCCCTCAACCTCTGACATGGAGAATCCTGCAGGAACAGGATCTATAAGCTCTGCCTGGCCTCCAGGGAGCTGGGGAGGTCCCCAGCAGCCCCTTGGTCCCACCACAGCGAAGAGCATGGAGCAGCGGGGGGAAACAACAAGAGCATCCAGAACAAAAACACTCATGAGCAGCGAATTCCTCCTCTTCGAACCACTGACATCCCTGCAACGTTTCAGAAACACCATGGAAACACCATAACGTGCCCTACGAGACGCCGCTCAAGCAGGTCCAAGGGCAACACTCCTCTGCTGAGAGCCCCGGTCCCTACGGTCCCCGCTCCGCTGGCAGGTGGCTTTGTGCTAAGCCTCGATGGAAACCTCAGGCATATCAAATCTCATTTTTTACAACGTTCCCCAGCGATTCGCTGTAAAGGGGCCGCTGGTGAGATCATCTAATTATTCACGTTTAGAGAAATTCATTAAAGCTGGCCCCCCGCGGCGGGCATGGAACAGCTTGGGGTCGGCACGGTTCACCGCGAGGGTCGAGAGCGGGTCCCCTGCGGGGACGGACGGCTGCCAGCGAAAGGACCCGGCAGCAGGCAGTGACCCAGGACAGGGACAACCCTGATAACCTTCACTGCTCCTCGTCGTCCCCCTGATTCCCTCCCCACGCTCTGGGTTCCTGCTCACCCCAGCAGATACCAGAGCCAAGGCAGCACCAGGAATCAACGTGCTGGAGAAAACGCTGCCCACGGGGCAGGAATTAGCACCTGCAGCTGCAATGTTGCTTCCCTTCCTCTGGTTGCACGTGGCTCCCACCCTCCAGAGACAGTGCACCCATCCCACTGCCCATCCCACCACATGTCCCACCATGTGTCCCACTGCCTGTCCCACCACGTGTCCCACCGCATGTCCCGCCACCCAGACTCTTCCCAGCAAAGAGTCTGATTCAGAGCTCATCCATATTCCTCCTCTCTCAGCAAGCTGAGGACTCAAGCAGGATCCTGGGCAGCGTGGTACAAAGCTCCACATGTCCCCATCCCACCCTTCATCTCAAGGTTTCCACCCGAGCTTACCGCTGCCGGCCTGGAGCCCACGGTGCTGCTGACGTCGGGCGTGCAGATGCGGCTCAACTTCTCGTAGTAGCGGATCTCATAGTCCAGGATGATGCCGTTGGGCTGCTCGGGCTGGGGCCATGACAGCGTGATGCTCCTCATCGTGGCGCTCACCTGGTGCATGATGGGGACGGTGGAAGGTGCTGCCGAGGAAGCAGAGAGGGAGGGACAATTAATGGAGGGCAGTAGGACCTATGGCCCTGGGGAGGGAGACAATCTCCTGGGCACGTGGAGCATCCCGAATCTCCCCCACCTGCAGTTGCTCGCTCCATGGGACAAGCTCCCACGTTAGCAGTGGGAAGAGCGGCATCTCAGCAGCTTATGTGGAACCAGAGCAGCTAGCTGGCATGGGAATTCTGGTATTTAAACCAATTACTCTTTTTTAATTAGAGGCTTAGAAATCCTCAGTGTCCCTTCTCCCTGGGATTGCTTGCTCCAAGGATGTCTCCCACAGTGGGGCAAAGACAGCAAAGCTCTCCTCAGCGGGGACAAAGCAAGGCTCGATGACGGTCTCCAGCTCTGTTTGCCATCTTCTGCCATAACAGCCTCTCTAGGGGAGTCAGCACCCAGCACCCAGGGAGCCTGCGCCACGGCTGTGACCCCACGTGCTGTCAGTAACAGGGTATAGGAGGAAAAATCTGTCCACCCTGAGGACAATGTGCACTGGCAGTCCAGAAAGCCAACCGTATCCTGGGCTGCATCCAAAGCAGCGTGGGCAGCAGGTCAAGGGAGGGGATTCTGCCCCTCTACTCTGCTCTCCTGAGACCCCCCTGCAGTGCTGCGTTCAGCTCTGGGGTCCCCAACACCAGAAGGACATGGAGCTGCTGGAGCAGATCCAGAGGAGGCCACGAAGATGATCTGAGGGCTGGAGCACCTCTGCTCTGGAGACAGGCTGAGAGAGTTGGGGCTGTTCAGCCTGGAGAAGAGAAGGCTCCAGGGAGACCTTCCAGCAGCCTTCCAGTACCTAAAGGGGCTACAGGAAAGCTGGAGAGGGGCTTTGGACAAGGGTGTGTAGTGACAGGACACGGGGCAATGGATTTAAACTGAAAGAGGGGAGATTTCCATTAGATCTAAGGAAGAAATTCTTCCCTCTGAGGGTGGTGAGGCACTGGACCAGGTTGCCCAGAGAAGCTGTGGCTGCCCCATCCCTGAAAGTGTTCAAGGCCAGGTTGGATGAGGCTTTGGGCAACCTGATGTAGTGAAAGGTGTTCCTGCCCATGACAGAGGGGCTGGAACTAGATGATCTTGAAGGTCCCTTCCAACTCAAACCATTCTCGGATTCTATGAAACCCGGACAGGGACATCCCAGCCCAGCTAGGGCACCCCAGGGTGCTGGAGCCTGTAGCACAGCTTTGGCTCAGCCCTGTCGCAGAGGAGGTGCTGGGTCCACTCTTAGAGGCGCTCGGGAGATGCCCATCCTCAGCACCCAACATGCTTCTCCCAGGAGTTTTATTTCTGAAGCCAAACTCTTGCAGAACAGTCTCAAACCATCCTTCAGCTCCTCGCCCACTCGAGGCCACGGCACAAGGGTGCCCCTGCAGCCCCTGAGACCTCCCAGGCAGCAAACCACAGGGGGCTCAGGCACCTTGTCACAGCATCCCTGGAGAAAGCAAGATGCTCAGCACCAGCCAGGCATGCAGTCGGCATCGGATGGGAGCCTGGCATGGTTTGTCCGACTCCATTATCCTCAGCCCCACACCATGTTGCTCAGCAAAGCAGCCCACAGCACTTCAGTCCCTGCACCGGAGCAGAGCTAAGCCAGCAGGTTTCCTACAACAGCTGCCAGGCACATCATCCTCGCTGCCGCTGCTCCCGGCCCTGCTCTCCACGTGCTCTGGAGCAACCCCGGGGCTGCTCTGTGCCTGCTGGGGAGCCCGGCGTCTCTGGAGCTGAGCACCCCCAGAGCCGAGTAACCCTGGAGCTGAGCATCCCCGGAGCCAAGCACCCCTGGAGCTTAGCACCCCTGGAGCTGAGCACTCCTGGAGCTGAGCATCCCCCGAGCTGAGCATCCTGGAGCTGAGCACCCGTGGAGCTGAGCATCTCTGGACCTGAGCATCCCCGGAGCTGAGCACCCCCGGAGCTGAGCACCCGTGGAGCTGAGCACTCCTGAAGCTGAGCATCCCCAGAGCTGAGCATCCTGGAGCTGAGCATCCCTGGAGCCGAGCATCCCACGAGCTG